CATAGCCAATAGCTTTCCAGGCTTTCAACAAGGGCTGCTGGCTGGAAATACTGTTGCCAAACCAAAAGGGCATCAAGGTCCTCGTACTCCTCACAGGTACCAAGCAACAACCAAACTCTGTCATCCTTACCGAAGTCTCTACCAGGATGGCTGAGCTTCAAGCGATTGAACAGTATCTGACAAGATGCTAGACAATGCTGCTTGGGTTTGTTGGTTTCAGCACTTCTGGCTATTAGAGACTCTTTCTCTTGCTGGGAGACGACTCACTAAGTAGTGCCATGGTGCAGCCGCCTGTTGACATGATTACTGGGGGGCCAATGAGTGCCTACTATTACCCCTGCTCAGTCAGGAATGGATCTGAGAGTGGCTGAGCCGAGACGAGAAATGGTTTGCCTCCAGCTGGGTGGCAATCAAATTGGTCTGGTCTCAGTCAGGGATGGATCTGAGAGTGGCTAAGCCGAGACGAGAAATGGTTTGCCTCCGGCTGGGTGGCAATCAAATTGGTCTAGTCTCAGTCAGTGATGGATCTGAGAGTGGCTGAGCCGAGACGAGAAATGGTTTGCCTCCGGCTGGGTGGCAATCAAATTAGTCTGGTCTCAGTCAGGGATGGATCTGAGAGTGGCTTCAGTTTTGTGTGCACGAACTGGTAAGGATATTTCGTGCCAAACACCAACTCACAGGATATGTCGTGCCGAACGTAAACTCACAGGATAAGTCATGCTCAACCCACACTCTCAGGATAATTCGTTTCCAACGTCCACTCACAGGATAATTCGTGCCAAGAGCGCACCCACTCACAGGATAATTCGTGCTCAACCCACACTCTTAGGATAATTCGTGCCAAGCGCAGACTCACAGGATAATTTGTGCCTAACGAACACTCAGAGGATATTTCGTACCAAGCGCGCACTCGCAGGATAATTCGTGCCTAACGACCACTCAGAGGATATTTCGTACCAACCGCGCACTCGCAGGATAATTCATGCTCAACCCATACTCACTGGATCTTGACTTTGGGTACGAAATATGGATCCCCACTCGCTCCACATTCGGTACGAAATATGGATCCCAACATTATTTTTTGTCATTGACAGCCACATCCCTTTGAACTGAGCTCAATTACTGGTTATATCAACATCCACTGCAGATTGCGTTTGGCATGTTTCCATCGGTGTTCCGCGAAGTATTGATGTTGGTAGTTACATTCGCTCTGTTAAGAATCGATGCAGAGTGCGCGTAAAAGTTCTTTGACACGGTCTGAGATTTCCAATGCTGCACTGTCGGAGATAAGCGCGTCCATTGCTCCCCTTATTCGGATGACGTCCTCCAAGGTGTTGACAAACTGTGAGGAGGTAGACATCCCGAATACATCGACGACAAGCGATTTCCGACCAACGAAAATCTGTGCATACTTATGTCCACAACAAATGGCAGGAATGGCACCAGTAATGGTGTCGGTAGCGACAGGTTCGTTTCTGCGCCACACATTGTGTGCCGGAAAAGGAGAACGAATAGTCTGCTGAATGTGATGTCCTGACATGACGTTCTGAGCGTTCTGTGTTGTGGTATCGAAGGTACGACGTATCTTGTCCACAGGTACATGGAGAAAGAACGAGAAGTACTGAGAGTAATCAATACGTTTGGGTGCAACTTCAACGGAAGGGGTGGGAACGGTAGTTTCGTCGGTGTTGGTAACATTGGCATCGAAGCATGCGTAGACCTGGTTGAGGTTCGACGAGATGCGGAAAGACTGAAGGAATTGTGTTCGATTGATACAGAGGGGATCCTCGTCAATAGGAGTAATGTGTTCAGGATTAATGTCCGGATGAGGGATACGGTGACGATAAGATCCGGTAGAATCAAAGGAAATCACAGCTGTGTCATCAGATTCCAACATGATGCGGTTGTACCAATCATCGTGGTCAGAGTGACGGTAGTCAAGGACTTTAGGGTTCCATTGTGCTCCAGAAGTAAGAATGACATGGGGAAGTTGCGCGAGTTCGTCGTCGGCAGGTGGGTGCATGCGGAGTTACGGCAGTCCGTTGACGAAGTCGAGCGGTAGAATGTAGCCATCATTGGTACGTATGCACTGGCAGCCTCCAACGCGGAAGGATCGATCCTCCACCATGTTGTGGTAGTGTTTGAACTGGCCGGCAGAATGGATGGTGCGGTTGACTCCATGATAAGCATACTGGCGAAAGATACCAATGACAGGACCCTTCTGAGTGGTGAGTTTTGCAGCGCCATCAACAATCTTGAGACCATTGATCTCGTGATTGTCAATTCCCGTGACATCAACTTGCCGTTGATGTGTAATGGTGATGCGAGCTTGAATGTCCCTCTATTTCTATATAGTTAAGGCTGTTCTGAATCATGGCTCAAAACAATTTATGAAGGTAGGCTTCCTAGTGAAGAAGGCTGATTTATTAATTACTATATAAAATTAACTCGTAAACATTTGTAATCAAAACAGGAGCTTATGCAAGATGATTAGAGAGTGATTAGTGTTAGTTATTATAGCACATTTGATGCATTGAATTACTTTTTAGAAAAAATATACAAAAATATTCAAATCATAAGGTAGTCGCCCCCCTTCCACTGATTGGAATGACTGGATTCCTTCTTCATGCAGGAATGAAGACTGAAGAATGGTAGAGAACTGACAGATCGAAGATGATTGGTTGGTTGGAGGAAATTGCATGCTGGTTGCC